CGGAAAAACTTAGAGAATGAATAAAGTTTTCAAAAATTACACGGAATTGTACCTAAAAATCTCACTATTCTATTACTCATGTCATCATTGTTTCAATGGGATGAAGGAAATGAAGTTTCACTGCCACAAGATACACAAAATTATTTCCTGGTGCAGATTACCTCAATGGATATGGGTTAAACAATGTACAATACTGTTCAGTGTTTCTGTAAAAAGGATAATAAATTAACAGAGTTTACCTGCTTCATAATATGGAGCTAAACATCTAATGAAGGGAAATGGCGTTTTGTGTGACCTGGCAGGTAAAATTTATCTTTAATAACTCATTTTGTTCAATTGGGACACAATGAGTTTGAGCATAGTAATAGTTGTCATTATAAAGCTGTTGTGAGGGGTGTCAGTTTAAATACTTTTATTTGCAGTGAAATACAAATTTTATCAGCAGATCAAAAAAATATTAAAGTATCATTAATGAACACCTGGTACCTCATTGCTTAATTTAAGTTAATGACTGTGAAACAAAAAGAAGAGCAATAAACATAAAATGACTTCTTTCTCTTTAAAGAAACACACAAACAAAGTAAAGTTGTTTTTTTTATAATAGCTAGTAAACCATTCTGTCTAATAATAGTAATAGATTGTTCACTAATTAAAATTGATGACACATTGCTGCGCATGGCAAATTTGCTATATTGACTGTTGTACCTCAGTTGGGGACCTGTCTTAGTTCTGGACTGAGACAACTGAGTTCTGGACTGAGTGACTGGGTTCTGAACTGAGACAGGTCCCGAACTCAAACACAACATTACTAAATCCTACATGTCAACGTTTGCATAACCGCAGTAATTGACAACCCCTAAAAAATTATGTTGATTGGATTACCGTATTATATTACTATTACTTGGAAGTAGCGAAGAATGTACACCAATGCTTTTGAGTGAATTTGTTCACTTCCTGACAATGAAGTACAACAAGGACGTCAGTCAATTTAGAAGATATGCACATGGCTTATGAAGCACATTATTTGTAGGATGTTGTTTATCATAATGACCTAAAACCCTTACCATGTCTTCAGAAAAAGAATAAACAGATTTGCCCAAACTGGAAATTACAGGTATGGTGGTAGCAATTGTAATTAATTCTTACATGTTAATATTTAAAAAAAGGCAATTTACATACACTATTAACACCATCCATTGTTTATAATTCAGCAACTCAATAAATTTGTAATCATGGTTTATTCAATGGATGCATTGATAGGAATAGCTTGGGTTGAAATAAATCTGTAATAATTGATTTTTAAACGCCAAAGCTAGAACGTTGCCCATTATGTATTAGTCGTAGGCAGAGTACGCGAGAATAAAGACATTAGTATTATCGTAACAAATAATTTTTATCATTAAAATTACTATCTACTAAATTACCTTATCCTATATTAATATGCGCATCTAGAGGACAATCTCAGAATGCGGTCTTTTATTAACTGGTTTTCACAAAAGTCAAATTGTTACTTCTTCATCAGCACCTAGTTTATACCTCTCAAGCAATGAGTAATCGTGTCTTGCAATATCATTACGTATTATTCAATTCGTTGATTTGAAGCGTCTCTCGTAATTTTTTGGCGCACTGACAGCTCACTAAAATATAAAAGTTACTAATCATACATCATTAGCCATGCCGGAAAAAAGGAATACTTGTAACTAAATTACACTCAATTTAAATCATGAGTTTATGCTTAATATAATAAACAGCTTTAGTTATAAACTCGTATTATTAAATCTAACTAGCAATACAAAAGATTTGTAAAAATTTTTTTTAGTTATTAGCTACTAACTGCGAACGCACTTGGTTTATTAATGTAAGATACCTGAAAGAATAGGTTTTACATGTATTCGAAATAAACACTTAATTTGACTAGCAATAAAAATAAATAAACCGTAAAGGCATCAAACAATCAAACCCATTTATTGGTGAACCAGAATGTTATTAAACTGTCTATACGCCTACTATCTTGCAATATTAAAATTTCTCGATTTGTGAACAATAATAAATAATGTAATCTCGATTTGTGCATCCACAAATCTTGCAAAATTAAAATTAATAGTGAACAATAATGCTATCGACGCCCATGTTAATATGCATACAAATCCATTAATCAGTGGGCAAAATCTCAACTTGTGAACAATAATGTCCCATATGCCCACCAGTCATTTATTTTTTGTTCAACAATCCAGTGATTTTATGTTTGAAAATCTACTATAAAGGCCGCTAATTCTACCAAGTTAATTAAAGTGTAGACACTTTTTTCTTATAGTATTGCTGATTTTCAGAAAAAAAAATGTATACACAGTATATTATCGAATAATTATGTACGAATCTCCTATAACTGTTACAAAAAACACATCCTCGATTAACTATTACATAAGTCACTCAATAATTAATCATTGTTTGATTTAATAATAGAGTAATAATATTAAATTTGATTAAATTCATTTCTCAATAATTTATAGATACGAGTAACATTTCTGAAAAACGATCTCGTGAAACAAAAACCGGCCCATTCAAAATATTTCTTACCAAGTTTTGTGAGTGCTAATCTGACTGTACAACCCCACCCAAAAGCAGTGTCAATTTAAATCTGTCAATAAAATCTAACCATGAAGATGAAGGATTTATCTACTACTACAAGTTGGAAAAGCTCATGAATGCTCATTTCCAAAATGATGGAGAAAATGGTCATGTTGCATTTTTAGCAGTGATTTGAACTGAGAGACAAATCCTGTCAAGAAAATTCTGTCAAATGGAATAACATCAGTAGTAGTAGAGAATGTTTTCGCTCTATTGTAAAGACTTTACTCATTTCAATTGAAGCTGGATTAAAATTTATTAGAAATTAAATAAACTTTACCTGAATACAAAGATGGTGAACCAACATTGTAAATGTGCTGGAGCTTGTCTCGAAAATTGAATGTCAGTATAAGCATCCTGAGAATCAACCTTTTGAACGTACAGTATCAGCAAGTCAAGACCAGCTATTGAACAATTGACAAAGTATACGCAATATGACTGACACCAATAATGATGATATTATCAGCCTCAACCTCCGTTTCCGTAACGGTCAACATAGGAATGTAATAATCGAAATTTCCAAGAATCTTAGGGCCGATCTCTAAATTAGAGCTAGAAACGTTTTGGCACCCCATCTCCCAGTCCGCCCCAATAACTTTCATCTCTGACAGATTTACCCAACTAGTGCAGAAAGAAGACGTATGCAACCAGAAAATGATATTTCTGTTCATTTTCCCGAGAATCCCAATGAAGATTGGATCCATATCTTTGTTTACCCTCCTCTTTCCCCCGAAGAATAATTTTCTGTATAATAACAATGTATTTGCAAATTTATTACTTGTATTAGTCACCGCGAATTGCATGTAGTCTGTTCACGTGTATCATATTCCTATTTGCTCCAAAAATATAAAATGCACTGTGCATAAAACCAGATTTTTTTAACGCCTTACCTATATCAATATAAAACGATAACATGTCTTCACCCAGCGCTTCTCCACCTTCCTCTACATCCTCTACTTTGACGGAAGAAAGGTCAACTTGCACGATGGCGGACGTTGTGAAGGATCTAGATACGGAAGAACATATCAATTACTTGTGGAAGAAAGACTTGAAGCTTAAGGAGTCGCATTTCAAGATTTTTCGAAAAGAAGAGATTACTGGTTCAGCATTTCTGGATATGACAGAAGATAGATTCCGTAGTATTGGTTTGGCATTGGGACCAGCGATGGCACTCGCAAAATTTATCGAGAGTCTAGATCAAAAACTACGAAGTTTCTCGTCATACAAGACTCTGGAAAAACTGAAGGACGTGCTCCGCAAATATAAAGTCAATGGTGAAGATATTACGAGCATCAAGCAATTCAATCCGGGTACGTGTTATTTTTTCTTGGCAAAAGTGATCGGTAAAAACTGTGACGATCGAATACAGGTGTATGCTAATGTTTTATAGTTTTCGAGGAAATCGATGACAACGACAAATCCGTTGAACAATGCATGAATGAAATTCTACTACGGTTAACGAATGTAAAATCAATGATAGAGGCTAATGAGGCGACCCGATGTGAATTTACTTCATCAATATTACATGCATCAATCGCTATCGCACGGAGGCTAACAGATAAAGAAATCAATATAGAATTGCAGAGGGATATTTCGGCGTTTGGTAGAGTTAATTACGTCATAACAGGGATGGAGGATCTTTTGTGTATAACTGAGGGTAAACCACGAAATGTTATGTCCAAAATATAAAACAACTCGAGAGTTCCTTCCACATGAACAATAAGAAACGAACTGCGGATGAAGCATTTAAGGCCGAGAATTACGACTATCTGCATTCCAGGGGTACTGTGAATACATACCAGATAAAGTTAACTAACACACGATTGCCACAGTCTGTTTGGTGCGAGTTGGTGCGAGTCGGTGCGAGGGAATATAAAAGATAATCAAATCTTTGGCATGCCGCTTACCTCTACTCATAATCCTGCTACTGAGAACAGGGAAAAAACACGTCCTGTCACAACGCCTGCAAACTACCACTCATTATCATTACCACTAAAACGCTCAACTTCTGTCCTATTACTTACTATGTTCTCTGTATATGGGATTGTGTCAACAGGTATGTGAAAAATTTTATTATACTTGCCGGAGGTAATGTGACTATGCTAATTATCGGATTTATTTTAGGTGACGATTGGCATTTTATCATGTTCACTTCCGAAGGGCTTTTTTGTTAAGAGCAATCAGGAAAATTTGAGGGAAGATATAAAGCAGGTAATCAGTATAGTTGTAGGATTATTGAAAGATAGAATATCCGCTTGTGATGAACCCGAATCCAAGAAGCGACGCGTGCAAGAAAAATTTACCAAAAAATAGACAGATACGGTATAGTCTGTAGTCATAATGTAGAAATGCCATCATGTATCGGCTGATATTCTTAGGCTTGGGATGGGAGCAATTGGAAAAGATACAATAAAGGGTTTTTACGATGGGAATAGTATAAGAAGCGAAAACTTCGAAAAGATATGTGCTTGGATAGATAACACTCATTTGCACCTTTGAGTGGCGGGAAAGGAACTGCCATTATATGGGTTAGGGCTCGGCAGGCTTAACAAGCAGGTGCCTTTCCTCCCTTGAAACATCCTGCTACTCTATAATTTTTACTTAGCCGAGCCCTAACTCTTTCAATATATTTATTTTTAAAAAAATAAAGATATGATTATAGCACTGCGTGTCTGACGTTTTATACATAAATATCGTCACAAATAAATTCTTTAGAATAACTCTACAACCCAATATGCATCTCCCCCATTCTCATCGTATACATCACTCGCAAAATATGACGATTATTATTATACACAGCTTAATTCTCCTATCTTACTATTACAGATCAATTACTCCACAACTTCCATGGCCATCCATATCAGCCATGACTTCACTCATTCCCTGTTCCTCTCTAATACTAACATAATATAAACATTAATATTAAATTTTATTCTTATTAATTTTCATATTTCTTTGTTTCAATCTCATAGTATATACCAGCCCTTATGGCAAATTCTTAATTGTACCTCTGTACTTATGTATATGTTAAAACCAGCTTTAGCAGTTTAACTGTAGGCGGACAATAAAGTCTTATATGGGGCATACTGCAACAACAAACCAGACAAAGTGAACATTTCATAAATGAGAGGCAGATTATGATGTGGCTGTAAAATTGACCAGGGTGACTGATGACGTTTTGAAAAGTAATAATGGTGCTCATTCATAACTTATGGACTTGCTAATTTTAATGCTTACTTTGTCATACCAGAATGTGATGAATATAAACCATAACAGGAGTAATATACAGTCACCCCGAAAAGTAATGGCGGGGTATATATTTTACCGTGTCATACAATTTTGTATAAACGAATTCTTAAT